GGAGCCAGGTCTGGCGTAGTACAAAGTCGTCTAACGTTGTTTAACCTACCAACGCACGCATCTGACGCAATAACTGGGACGGCTTGAGGTTTCCCAGTTGTATCCCAGATAGTAGAAGCTGGATGCGCTTCTCAGAAATGGCCATACGGCGGCGGAATGCCTCTTTGAGCACGTCGTATGGGTTGTGTGCGGGGATATTCATATATATATATATATTCATTACACATTATATTATATTATTATTATTATATATTATATTATTATATTATATTACACATTATATATGTTCATTACACACTGGTGTGTATAGAGAGTTTGCTTCTTAACAGAGCATGGTCCGTATCCACGGATTTGGACCGACTAGAGCTGAAGTCGTTAATGGCTATTTCGATTTGAGTCCATCGAGTAATGGAGTCAAAGGTTTCCAATATAGAGCAGTATCGTTTCTTGTGGGAGAAGTTGATGCTTGATGGAAACACTCGTTGGTCTGCACAGAGTTTAAGTAGGCGATCTGCGTAGTCTGTCCAGTTGGCTGCGGTAATATGCCGGCCTTATAGGCATTTTCATAAATGACCTTAGAACCCATTTACGCATTAAAATCGTCTTTGACCTCTACGATGTTCGTTGACTGCTCATTATGAATCGATTACGGAAGATCCTAGTAGAATTTATTCTTCGGTTCAGGTGGTAGTGGCGCAGTGGTTTAGTTGCTGTCATTGGCGTGCTTTGGATCCTATGGTCCTAGGTTCAAGCCCCGTCACCACCACCCAACTTTGGTGGTAGACAGCTTTGCTATCGTCCGGTTCAGTACCACACCTAACCTATCGGGGCTTTATGTGGTTCGCTACTCCAAGTTCCGGGACTTAGATTACCGGTCTCCATAATGGAGGAGCAGGTCTTCGTGGCCATGGGGTTCGCCCCGTCTGCTGTTCACCACAAATGTGTGTAATAAAAAACACCGACACTACTGTGTCATTGAAATCTCCAGTACGCGGCCGCTTATCGCGTATTGTGTTGCCTGTTAATGATGATCCGGCAAGTCATTTTCGAATTCGACTGCTTTGTTACGTGAAAGGCAGGATTTTTACGTTAGTTGAGGAGAAACATAGATAAAGGTCAACCGTATCGTAATCGTTTGACGACGTTAATCGACAGTGGAAGTTCTTCATAAATTCACGTCTTCCGTAAGGTCCAATATCAAGTGCTTTTATGATCACAATGTGGTTCTCAGGCACTCCATAACTTGGGTCAATCAATCCAATCAGAGGGGGCTTTAATACCCGAAAAACGCCGCAGTTTTTGTTGTCCTAACGTGACGGTGTTCCGACAGCTGACGCTGAGTAAATGATTGATTGATCTACGCAACCACAGCTTCCACAGAACCTAGCTTACCGCTCCCCGTTCTCCACGATAAGCGGAACAAATGTGTATGGTGAAATGGACGCCTACCGTTTCAGTGCCAACGAAATCAAACATGTTCCCGGGGTTGATGCAAAATTTACATTTATGTATCTCCACACGGCTGGTTCTAGACTGTATGCAGAACAAATCACGGTACAGTGATGTTGATGAACAGAAAATCTTGCATGGTTTGCCAACTGTACGGTAACCTTTGAAAATGAGGCAGTCGGTTCGTGTCAACAGGGATGCGATTTCTCTCTCAAATCCCACAATACTTCTTATGACGTTCAAGGGTTGGGAAACCCTTTTGGATTGCTGTTTCTGTGGAGGTTTCCGTGAATAGGGACCAGAGTACACCTTCCGGAGGACTATTCCAGTTAGCTAGCCCAGAAATCTGGTTAAACTGCGACGCGAGGTGTTCCGTGTTCCAGGTGTCAGTGAATACTGTATATTTGGGTGCCATCCCATTCACTAATTTTTTAATGCGTTATCTCTCCGTCCCAGTATGGTGCATAAATTAGACCAGTCACTAGAAGTAGCCGCGGTTTTCATCTCTTTTGCACAAAGCGCTAGTGAGGCTTCCTTATAGTCACTTAAATTTGGTGATTTCCCACTTCAAAGGGAAGCATTTTTTTAAAAGAGAAGCCGGCACAGAGAATTTTCATTATACTCGCTATGTACCGGGAAACCACCGCGCGTGTGGATATATATATATATATATATATATATATAAAATAACGGAACCGGTTTTTCGTTTTTCTATCCATTGTGTTCACCCTTTTTGCAGTATACTCTTACTCGACGGCAAGCCGATAGTCTATGGTCTTGATTTTCTCACTCATTGCCTTTTTTGCCNATGCGCGCCGCACCAGTTTCCTTCAGCTTCACGTCGCAGCTGGCCAATTTGAAAGTAAGTGTTCCTGTGTGTGTGGTACGTTTTCATTCCACTTCAATTTGTAGAACACATTAACCCTATGGGAAGATGTCGTTTCAAAAACAATGAAACTGAGTGCGGCATTGAGGTAAGTGCTGAGGGTGTTCATTTAGCGCCTGCTTTTTTGGTTAACCAAAATGTGTTTTCAGTTATTGCTCCAATCTGTATGCTTGAGTTTGGATATGTAACTTGCTGTCGTGTAGAGCAGAGACGATGAACCTCATCGTCATCATTGTATAGCGTAATACAGTAAAGCGAACTCCACTGATCGCTGCTAAACTCATATTGTATACAAGGTAAGTGAGAATGTGTAAGAAGGATAGGGATTGAGCTTACTTTTAGGGACGGGAAAAGAAAGCGGACCTCTACGGTCAACACACAAAGTACAGTGCGATTGCTCCATCGTTTACCCATTGCCCATTCAATACCTTCATTTTGGCCACCACTTAGTGCGTTCTCCAGTATTTCGTCTATGACGAAATTGAACAGGAATGGCGAAAGGGGGCACCCTTGACGAACACCGCTGCTAGTTACGAACGACCTACTCAGATCACCGTAGACCTTTACGCTACCAGAAGTATGTGAGTAGAGTGGACTCAGTATGTTCGCGTACTTCTGCGGCATTCCGTTGCGAATGAGTGAACCCATAAGGGATTCACGATCAACTGAGTCGAAGGCTCCTTTTAGGTCAAGGAACACGACAACCGTTGGTTGACGGTGCGTATGGCGTGTCTCGAGGACTTGACGCAGAGTGAAGATTTGATCGATAAAACCGCGACCTGGTCGAAATCCTGTTTGTTGTTCGCGGATGTTTGTTTCCTTAAACGGTGTCAGACGTCGAAAGTAACTTGGTTAGTAACTTGGTGACGATTGGAATCAAACTCATTCCACAGTGGTTTGTGCAGTCGTTGCGAGATCCCTTCTTAAAAATTGGAACGGTCAGTGATTCGCTCCAGGATGATGGAATCCGCTCGTGTGACCAGATGTTACTCATTATACCAGTAATGGAGTTCACGAGGTCATCGTCCCGCATCTTAAAAGGAGTGGGAGGAAATCCGTTTGGTCCTGCTTCTTTTCCTTTATTCAGGGCTGGGATGCAACAACGAACTTCTGCTGCATTAGGGGGATCAGATGACACTGCCCACCAAGCTTGAGCTACATCGGAGATAGCCTGGTCAGCGCCTGGCCAGCTGAACTGTTCGTTGAAGTACTCCGTCCACCGGCCAAGCCGTTGTTCCCTGTTGTGAACAGCTTGACCACTTTTGTCGCAGATTGTTTCTTATAACTGTGGTCTGCCAACCTCCCGTATTACGTATCAGTTGGAACAGTTTATGACTTTCCTGATGCAGTTGCTACTTCCATTTCACTAGCTGTCGTTGCCCACCTGTTCTCATGGTCTTTCCCGAGGCTCTTCTCGGGTTGACGTTGCAGACGCCACCTACCCCTGCCTTGATCCCGGGCGGTCGGGATTCGCCTCACCCTCACGAGGATTCATCGCTGAACTTTGCTGTCGTCCGGTTGAATACCACACCTAACCTATCGGAGCCTTATGTGGTTCGCCACTCCAAGTCTCGGGGCTTAGGTTGCCGGTTTCTATCATTAAACAGCAGGTCCTCGTGACTATGGGGTTTAACCTGTCTGCTGTTCATCACACGAAAGTGTGTAGTGAAAAAATGAAACATATTTTCCTTGAACACACATATATTACCCGTTATTATTCAATCGTTGGCGTTAAATCTCACACTGGCAACTGTTAACTCAGGAATACCGGGAATATGCCAATTCTGTTCCGTTGACACACGTTGGTTAACTCCCATCGGAAGTGAGCGTAATGAAGTACAATTCGTAACGAGACGGGAACTTAACGCAAGCCTACGCAAACACCAGGAAGTCTGATGGACTCATCACGCATCAGGGATGGAACATGTCCCCGTAGTGGGTAATTCCCGTAAGCTGTTCTGTCTCACCGGGGTCATCGGGAGGAAAGCTTTGAATGTGAGCGAAACGATCTGCGAAACTGACGGCTCGCGCATTCATAATATCCAGCGATGTATTGCGCGCTGGGCGGAGCACTTCGAGGCACAGTTTAGCTGGCCACTAGCGTCAGATTTTCACACAGCTACTCCCATGGTCTGTCTCAACAGACTCACCTTGTGAAGTGGAAACCCGTAAGGAGATCCAAGCCTTGGGAAGTCACAAAGCGCCGGGCTCTGGTGGCCTTCCCCCTGCTCTATTCAAAGATGATGGTGGTGTTCTCTAATGTCTGGCACACTGAGAAGGTACCCTCCTCGTGAGAGAATCGATTGTTCCCATCTTTAAAAAAAGTCCGCGTACTGACCGCCAATCATTGGGGTAGAAGCCTTATCCCAATAACGTCATAGCTGTCGGCGTCCGTCATTCTCCGGCGATTGTACACTATGTGTGAGGAGCAGGCCCTCAATGATCAGGCTGGGTTTTTCGTGCCGGTCGTGGATGTACCGATCACATCTTTACCCTCCGACAGCTGCTAGAGCACCGTCATGCTTATCAAATACGAACGATCATTGTGTTCTTAGATATCCGCGTGGCCTTAGGCTATGTCGACAGGATCACACTATTGAACTGCTTGTTGAGATATAGCGTACCAAAGAAGTGTGTCGATTCTCAAAGAGTTATATCGTCATACCTAGGTCAGGTCAGGGCTCGTAGCCACCCTTTACGGTCTCTCGTAAAGTACGAGAAGGCTGCCCTATAACCCTATTCCC